ACCTCTTGCAATGGATTTGGGATTTTCGTTTTTTGATGAACCAAAATTAAGCAGAGAATCTCGATGCCTTGAAACCTTCCCTTTCCCTTCTGTCTCGCCAGGGCTAAAGCTCCGCTCCCCACGCTGTGACGGGGTTGACCCGCTCCAAGGTCAGACGCCACTCCACATTGCGACTGAAGGGGGCCACTGTGAGGCGGCGCAGCGGCTCATCGACGCCAGGGCCGATCTCGAGGCCAAGGACGATAATGGTCCGGGCGCCTGGGAAGGACTGGAAGAACCTGAAGAAGAGGGTCTGTTGTGGCAAGCAAAAAGAGCTGCAATGTTTATGTTTGTTTTTGATTCCGTTTATACAACAGCTTTGAAGCAGTTGTGAGTTGTAGGGCATTCAGTTGAAATTCTGAATGTTTTCAGGACCTGCACCCTCTTCTGCGGTCTTCCCCTCCCTTCTCCTTCCGCCCGCTGTGACGGGTTGACGCGCCCCACAGGAAATAGACACGATAAAGGAAATCGAAAGACGCATCCGCTTATTAATTGAGCCACTGTGTCTTGTTCCATCCTTTTTCTGTTCGTCCTGGAGAAAACACCTTCGACTCCGCAAGGCCGAGGTGGGTACACACCGCTGCATCTGGCCGCGAAGTCTGGCCACCTCGCCGTGGTGGACCGGCTCGTGGCCGCCCGCGCGGACCTCGAGGCGTGGGGCCTATTTGGCCGGGGGCCCCAAGTCTCAGGGTGACCGGAGAACGTCGATGAAACGCACCTGCCAAACAGATTTGACACTTGACACCCCCACCAATCAAAACGGATTTGTAGGATCGAAGATTCTGTGACATGGTCTGGGTGGTGGATTAGGGCCAAGAAGGAAGTGGAAGTGATGAAAGTGGGAGGCACTGTGAATAAGACGCGGTGCGAGATTAGATGAGTCGATGAACGGAACACTACATAATGAAGCAACTGGACGGGTTTTGTGCAGCTTTGATTGATTCTATGCCATTGGTATGGACTGGTCCTAGCAGTTTTCAGAAAGCGACATGGAGCGATCTGGATATTATGTTGAATTAAGACAAAGAACGATACATTTGAACAAGAGGCCTTGAAGGTAATTTCCAACTATCAAACAAACAAGCGCAAAGCCCTCAGAGTTCCCCCTTCTGTCTCGCCGCTGCCAATGCTCCACTCCCTGCGTCGCGACCGGATTGATCCGCCCCGAGGTGAGACGCCCCTCCACCGTGCGGCCAATTATGGCCATTGGGAGGTGGCGCAGCGGCTCATCGAGGCCAGGGCCGATCTCGAGGCCAAGGACCTTGCTGGTCGGGGAGCCTGGGAAAGGAGGTCTGTGGTGTCGAAGAAGGGGTGCAAAGCTGCACAGATGCACCAGGTTGTTAAACACGAGCCCGGACATGTTTTCATCGGGTCGGAATGCGTCTAAACTCCTTCGTGCAACTGCTTTGGTGAGAATAAAGACTTCCGACACCACCAACTGACTGAAAGTCACGTCCTTCCAAGCAGCCCCAAAGCGATTAAAGACGGACTTGTAACCTCTTGCAATGGATTTGGGATTTTCGATTTTTGATAAGCCAAAATCAACCAGAGAATCTCGATGCCTTGATACCTTCCCTTTCCCTTCTGTCTCGCCAGGGCCAAAGCTCCGCTCCCCACGCTGTGACCGGGTTGACCCGCTCCGAGGTCGGACGCCGCTCCACTGGGCGGCCCGTGAGGGCCACTGTGAGGCGGCGCAGCGGCTCATCGACGCCAGGGCCGATCTCGAGGGCAAAGATACTGATGGTCCGGGCGCCTGGGAAGGACTCGGAGCACCTTAAGAAGAGGGTCTGTTGTGGCAAGCAAAGAGAGCTGCAATGTTTATGTTTGATTTTGATTGAAGCAGTTGTGAGTTGCAGGGCATTCAGTTGAAATTCTGAATGTTTTCAGGACCTGCACCCTCTTCTGCGGTCTTCCCCTCCCTTCCCCTTCTGTCTCGCCGCTGCCAATGCTCCACTCCCTGTGTCGCGACCGGATTGATCCGCCCCGAGGTGAGACGCCCCTCCACCATGCGGCCAATTATGGCCATTGGGAGGTGGCGCAGCGGCTCATCGAGGCCAGGGCCGATCTCGAGGCCAAGGACAACTATGGCCCGGGCGCCTGATTTTGATCAATTGAGGAACACGGTTTGCAAACATCGTTTATGCGTGACTCTGATCCTGTTTGTGCAACAGCTTTGTTAAGCATTTTTGGAACACAGGGCATTCACTAAAAATTCGGAATCGTTCAAACTTTAAGATGCTGGGTGAACCTGCCAGGACTGAAGAAGGTTTCTTACTGTTCACGTGCCTGCTCGTGGGTGCCTCATGGTGGCCGCTGCACTGAGGCAAAACCCCATGGGAGAGGGCCAACATGAATGGAGAGGAGAAGGTCATGGGTGTTTTGCGCCCTGTGCCTCGTCAAAGCAAATGCAGCCTGCAGACGGGTCAGTCTAGGGGCGGTGGTTGGTCTGAGAATATATGAGGCGAACTCTCATGACTTGGTGAGGAGTTGACGGATGTTTCATGGTGTTTGTGCTATTGTTTCGTAACAGATCACCAGTATGGAGACCAAGACCAGAGTAAATCCAGTATCGTTGCCAAGTTTCAGTGTGACCTTGCTTCACTCCTGAATTCATTTTGTTCCATCACAATCACAGTCAGGCGCATCTCTTCAACACATTCTTGCTTTCGGGGCTGGAATACCTTTGAGCTTGTCGCAAAGCCTAAGTTGTTTGTTAAGCCATAAAGCTTCTTCAACAACCCAACCGCGTCACGAGAAAAATTAGGGAGTCATCCAAGTCGTGGTTTCCACCATGGCAAACCGCCGAGGTCCAAGTGGGCCTGCTGAGTGGTCGCACGGTCCGATGCAACTTGGCTCCAAGTCAAATGGATTGACTCGGGACATCATCCGCTTGAACCTTTCAACAGGCACCCCCTCAACTGATCGTGGATTGAGTGAGACTGTGTGCTTTCCTCGCATGTTCTTTGAAGATTGCAGATCTGATGCTTCGTGGTTTCTTGTTTCTTGAGCAATTTGCCGCTCAGTTGTCACCTGCTACTGCGGCAGTTGGTGTCCGCCCAATCTGTATTGTTTGGGAACGCCCAACGAGGTGAGATGGGTTTCTTTTCCTTCAAGAAGTGGGATGTGAGTTGCTCACCGTGAGGTGACCCGAATCCCTGCCTCACTGTTCGTGAGCTGCGAGAAGAAGCCCAGCCACTTGGCAGCAAGTTGGTTGACAAGTCAGCGAGGAAGGTGGAAAAAGGTTGACAGTCTCCTCACAAAGTCCTGTGTTTCGGCAGACAAGTTGCTTGCTTTCGACAGTGGACATTTTGCCGGTGCTCTTCTTGAATACACCAATTTTTCCCTGGTGACCCGACTTTCCATGCTCGTATGTTTGTCTTCCCAGGCGTGCCAGCCTTAGGTACCTTCATGACGAAATAGTGAAGTGTGTACGCCCTGGTTCCGTGGATTTGTTAGACAAGGAAGCTTCAATACAAGGTTAGCTGAATCAGCTTGTGTGTAGTTTGAACAGTTTGAACAGTATGCTGGCCACTAACGGCCACTAACGAGTTTGATCCTGTATACGTGATGGTGCAGCGCTCATGCCGTGGTAAAGCTCTGGCCTTCCTCTACATCGTGGTGCATTGCGGTCCAAGATCAAGTGTCAACCTTGGCCTGGCTGAGGTCTAAGCTTGGGCGTGGGTTCCAGATCCAGCAGCTCCTCACGCGCTCTGGACAAGTACTGTGCGTCCTGCATGTTTTGAGTTGAGCCACCGAGCTGAATCCACGTCCAAATGGCACCTTTTCAAACAAAAAGCCACCAGAGTTGAGGCAGGTTAATACTACAGTCACCGTGTTCACAGAGTTACAAGGTTCATCGTGGGAGATCCCCACCTAGTCTGGGAGGTTTGAGAAGGTCAATGGTGGAATGCCAAGGTTGTCACCCTAATGGCACAGCATGTGCTTGTCAATCCTGTTTCCTGGCAAAAGAAACGTGGCCAGCACTTTGCCGTGCCAGGCAAGACCCTTTGACGCTAGAAGATGCTGGCGTCACTTACGGCGACTTCGTTACGGCCATCGCTCCGGCCTCAGCACATCCAGCACATCAGCGCACTGCTGGAGACCGTCCGTTTCAATCCGCTCCGAGAGTAGGTCTCCAAAGGGTTCCGCGAAATGGGTGAGATGAACACAAGGGTTCCCAAAGAGTAGGTTTTCCAAAGGGTTCCGTCAAGAACAGCGCTTTGGCCATGCTTTGCCCTTTTGAGGTCAATGAAGATGAGGCGCGCCCATATGACATGTTGTACGCTCTACATTGTTGCACGCTCAGCCATATGGTCGTGGTTTTTGGGATGAACGTAGAATATATCAATCATAGGAGGATGGTTCGGGTGGTGCAGCGCAAATCAACATCGCATTCCAACACATGGCTGCTTCAAGAGTTTATAGCGCCTTGTTTAAATGGATGTGGGTCCAACACGGTAGCTTGATGCAGAGCTTCAAAGAGCTGGTTCTTTTCATAAATACTCAGAGACGGATTGCAAAATTGGCCTTGTTGACAGTTTTTTCAGCGTCGGCGTGGGATGACTCATTCCATTGCTCAATTGTCGATCAAGAGAACAAGCAAAACAATCCAGCCGTGACGCCTCATCTTCAAATTCTTGCCAGGCTTCAGTGCAGCCCTGAGAAAGCGTTGTCAAACTGAATATGTGGAGTGACCTCTTAACAAAGGAACAATGTATCAAAGACATTCCGAAACTGGTTTTGTATACAGATGATGGTCCTGAAAAGAGGCGGATTACTCACACATGGACACATGGTGGCTTCTCCAGCCTTACCAAGAAACCTTTGTGCCATGCTCTCGGGTGCAGGTCGCAGGAGAAGCAGCACGAGAACGAGAAGGCAGCAGATTTGATTCACGTTCAGTTTCCTTTTGGTGCCAGATTGTGAATTAGACATGTTCAGTCAATTTTGGGTGCTAGTTTGTGGTGATTCAGCAGCAGCGCAGACCTTTCCGTGTTGCTTGCAGGTCTGTCTCTCTGCGTGGATGCACGTCCTTCGACTGATCTGCGAGTTGTTGAGCTCGAAGAGGACCGAACTGAGACGCTGAGGAAACGGTGAAAGACGAGCGGAGCTGTGAACCAGGTGGTTCCATGCAAGAGTGGCTCAGTTTCGGACAGCAAAAGAGCCCAAACCCCATCGTAGTGGTGTGGTTAGATCACGATTGTTCGGCTCAGTTCGGTTCGAGTGTTTTCAGCTACCTGGGAGCTTTGGAGGTCATCGTTCATGGGTATATCATGGGTAACTGTATATGATGTTCCAAGTTTACTTGAGTAATAGCATACATGATTTTTAGGTGGCACATTTGGAAACTACATTGGCATGAACCCAAATAATAGGGAACCAGCAAACATTTTTCTGAGGTGGACACATACACAGACAAAAGATCATGCAATTCATCATTGACATCCCCATGTGACTGTGGACAAACCTGGAGGAAACTTGGTCACCTTCCATAAGAGTTCCTTTGTTGCGTATTGAAACGAGGATCTACCTTTGATGATCTTTGATGTGTTCTTTCTCAGAGTAGAACCCCCTCGAAACCACTTGTAGATCGCTCCGGAACATGTTTCATCATTTCCGTTTCCGTTTGAACATGTGTCGGATCCAATCTGCAGAGAGGTGGGATACCGACGGACAAGGAACACTTCCTGAGTGTGGGGTGTACGCCAAATCAAGCGCACGTATTGACACGGTGGGACACTGTGACTTCTCCAGCAGCGGGAGGAGGAGAAACCCTGCTGATCGAGTAGATGCCCCTTTGTGATGCAAGGATGGGACATGATGACCTTGGGATGTTGGTGTATTGAGTTTCTCCACCACTTCTACCATCTTGAAGCTGGGGATTTTGTTCCAGAAGGTGGCCATTTGGGAGTTGCCAAGAGCTTGGGAACGTTGTGCAAGTTGGTCAACGATTCTTGCCCAAGTTGCCAACTCGACCTGCCATGGAAGGGGGTATTGAGAGAGAAGTGTACATCTCTAACGGTTTATTTTCTTCTGTGTGTCTTATTTACATATGGCACCTTTGAGTCATGGTCGTTCTGCGTGCTTTTGCCAAGACCGGTCCAGTGGCACACATAGATTAGGAGCTTCGTCTTCGCCAGCACAGGTCCTGTGGAGACCACATTGTGGTCAAATCATCAATCACAGGTGTCAATGCATTCGCCTAGGCCTAGGGATTGAGTCAATCAATTCATGCCTTAGTTGTATTTGGTCTGGCATCTAGCTAGCCTGAATACGCAACGCACGAGCAAGAACCAATGCGGTAAAGAAGTAATAGAAAAGCTTCATTGACTGGGAGGTTCTGATGCAGTGACTTCAGCTAGAGGGTAAGTAGGAGGGAGTCCTGAACCTTTTAAGTACATTTTTCCTGCAAGGCAGGATACCTTTGAGTTCTCTTCGTTGGTCAATTTGTGCACGTGATCCGATGAACTGGGCAGAAGCGTGTATATAAGACCAACTACCTATGGATGTTGTGCCTTCCTTCAACCATTCCTTCAGATCTGCTTGCAGATCAAATTTCACAAGTCGAGCCCTCAGCTCAAGCCACCTGACCTCTTCACTTTTGCAAAGTTGGCACTGTCCACTGCTTTAGTCAAGCCGGCAACTTGCGTCTTGGACGGATCACAAGCCGGCCTACAAAGTTGGCGCTCTGGAATCTCATACCAACTCCACGACATGGTTCATCCGTGTGAAGCAGGTCAACTTCATCTTGGAACAGCAGGTCAGCTTCAAAGTCGGTTTGTTGGTGTTGGGTGCCATACTGGCATGCTCCGCAAAGAGTGGCCAAGCTTTTCTCCCAAGGCTGTCTCAACCCTCAGCAGTCAGACCTTCTGGTTTAGACTTAGACGGTCCAGGTTCACGTCCGGGCTCCAGGTTCCCAACCGAAGCGTTCTGCTGCGCTTGCCCAAGAACTCGGCGAAGTGGTCGTTGAGTCATTGGTCGAGGTTGCATTCCTTAAAGAGTCTGAACGCCAGCCGCCTCAGGTGAAGAAGAAGGCTACATCAGGATTCTTCCAAAGATTGCTAGGAAAATCAGAAGGTCACCAGCAAGTGGTCTCCTTTTTTTTTGTTGACTTCTTGGCTCCTATAGCTGTTTGAACTCCTTCAAAGGCTCCAATCAACACTGGGCATCCCTGATAGGGCTTGCAGCTACCATTTTTCTCCATGCTCTGGCGCTTCAGCGGTTGGCAAAGAGTTCGGAGCGGTAGATCTCAAGGCCACAAAACGCACACCTTCTCCAATACCAGCGTTTATTGGACCGCTAAGATCCCCTTCTCCAGACTTCTGAGACCACAACCAATGGATCCCAGCCACAAAAACATCATCGGGGTGAACTCAAGTTAGGCCAACCAATCAATTGCTCCCTCAACATCCCTCAGGGCCTTCTTTGTGGCCTCCGCGAAAACCAACTATGGCAAAAGACCCTCAGCGAAGCTCCCTTGGAAAGCCTGTTTGAACCCATCTCATGACATGGAAGTCTTTGGTAGCAGAGCCATTGATGCCCAGTTGAATCCAATGTCCAAGTCCATCTCCGATCACCGGAAGATGTTCAGGTTCTGTCCAATCTTCACGATCCAAGAGCATTCAATGTCCAAGTCCATCCTTCAGTGGCAACAAGGATCCAGGGATCGTGTTCCATCTTGTAGCGCTCCTCCGGGTCACCCTGGTCTCCTACAGTTGGCGATTCGCGTCCTTGACCTGTTGGACCTTTAAATTTGGTAATCGCAGAGTAGCAGGTGGCAGTTCCAGCTGCAGGAGTTCCAGTTGTTGTGCTCACCTCTTCTTCAAGGCAGTCAGAAGGTAGATGAAGGACTCATCCCCTCAAACAAAAACGTGAAGGGTCTTGTATTTTGGGGGATGGACAGTGGGTTCGTTTGCACGTTTGCCAAACCTTTTTGCCGGAGTAGTGAGTATCCATCATTCCCATTCCAAGCGCTCCTGTTTCCTCCGGAACAGATCAACACCGAGGCTGAGGGACCAGTTGCTGTTGCTGAGATGCACGACTCCCTGACATGGGAGTCTCGACTGCTGAGGGGCGAACGTGGCTCCGTTCGTTCTTATGGTCCCCGATTCATCGGAAGCAACCAACGACGAACAACGACGAGATGACCTGTGAAAGCGAAGGAACGGCTGAAAAAGCCCGTTGGGAAGACGCTTGTGCATTTATTCTTGGTTTTGTTCATTTGGATTAGCTTGGGGCTTGGATAAAAGACTGGGAGCCGATTGATTCTGGAGGGTGTTTCAGCCAGTTTCAGCCCACTGTTAGAAGATCCTTAGGGACATTCCCGGCCTCATTGGCTGGGGTGACTTACGGTGTTCTTCTTGGTGAAGGTGTGGCTCATCCCCACACCATTCATGGATACCTTGACCTCATCGCTTCCTTGGTGCTTATGGTTTTATAGCATGTTTAAACAGATCACATTGCAAACGGTAGAACACCAAGAGATTTGGACCGCTGCAGAGCCGACGCACGGTGTTGTTGAACCGAAGGAGCCGCGTTTTGCCCAGATCCTTTCACTCGGAAGTTTCGAGCTTGGTTTCGACGGTCGAAGAGCATGAGAAGAGTGGAGATCGATCCAGGTCGCGGGGCAAGTTTCCATGCTCAGAATCAAAGACTTTCGGAGTAACTAAGTGGAGACCTGGACTTACAGTTCAGTTGAAATCTAGGGCTGACATGTTTTGTTTTATCTTCTGCAAGTTCGCGGTGGTGCATCTTTCTTTTTTTGACTGTTGTTGGGGACATGATGTTGCACAAGGGAAGATTTATCCCAGATGAACCAGGGTCCAATGGAAACCAGCAGCACCATGTTTAGCATCTTCGACCTCGACAGGGTGTTCTGCTTGCAGAGTCGCGAGCACATCCAAACAGGCCCCACATCCGAACGCCAAGTGGGGCGCGCAAAAAGGCGTTGATCCGAGAAATCACAAGCAGGAGCAGGTGAGGATCTTGTAGTGAAACTCATTCATCCTTTCAAAAGCATCATTGGAAAACTGGAGCACGTGTTGATTTGAAGCTTCATGTTCGTTTGGGAGGGGTAGACTGAAAACCAGTGGATGAAGCTGTCTTCTGGGTACCAACGTCATTGAGCCTTGGTTTGATTGCAGGAGGCCAAGAAAAGCAGGACCAGAAGAGTAGAAGATGTTTCTCTTGCAGGTTGATTGAAAAAGAAAGGGGCGTTCCGAAGTGGCTTTGATTTGACAGAATGATACATGGGTGGAGTTGATGTTCTTCCTGCAGAGGACGTAGGCTCAAAAGTGCCTCACAGCATCCTTCGAACGTGCCTGGCGCAAGTTGACGCTTCTTTTGGGTTCAGGCTCTTGACGCTTCGCACGATTCTTCTTTCTCGTCCCTCATCAGGCACAAGGTGCACAAGGCCCACTCCACCTCAACGGTGAACCCCACTCCCGCCCGTTCACCGCAGCGATCCACCGATGGATCCATCTGGTGATGGTGTCATGGATCCAGGCGAATGCAGTCTCCGGGCGATGCCATACCAACTTGGAGGTGAAGTTGATTTTGGTGTTACTGTACTTGTTTTATATATATACATGTGAAAGAAATGCCATGTGTGAATCTCCGAAGATTTTTTGGCATGTGACGCATGATTCTTGGCAGTCGCTAGCTTTTGGGATGTTTTGGGTGCATTGGGCTTGTGTCTTCGAAAGGGTTCGATACGGGTGGGAGAGGGTCACCACTGTCCCCTCGGAGCTCGGGTGGATGCCAGGTAAATGCTGCAGTGAAAAGCAAGGGCGATGACCGGTGAAGTCAAGCCTGGCCTCATTTGCACGTTCTAACCGTCCTAATTACATCTAATTACCAGAAAGAGAGCTTTTGAAAGGACGAATTAATTACTTTGATTGGGGTACCTGGACTACTGAAAGAAACTCTGTGAAACAAGTGGTATACAGCATGTATGCTTTTGTTTTGTTATTAATCGAATGACTTGCTCGCAGGTGCAAGGCGTCATGGAAAGCAAGGGCAAGCCATAGAGCTAGTCTTTGGCTTACCCTACATGGGCATTCCCTTCCTCAGTTTAGAGCGATGTACCGAACGTCCAGTCTAGAATTCGCTTGCCAAACGGTGTATCGACCGATGGGCTCTGGGCACCACCGTTTGGGTCACAAGTTCTCGCTAGCTGACAAGAGCTCTCCTCCCTGCGCAGCGTCAGGCTGCATTTTGTTGCGCAGTGTTTGCTTAATACAATCGAATGTTTGCTTGATGAGCAAACGCTTTGGTTTGGTGTCTCCAGGATAACTTGCGAGGACTTTCATCACATGGCTGCATGGACCATCGAGTGAAAGGAGTATTACACGCCTCCTCTCTTGAATGGATTTTGCAGACTTGGAATACAATCGTTCACAGATGTACTAGGGGGAGGTCTGAGCCGCTTTCTTGTTTCAGACTTTCATTTGAGCCTTATAGTTCGGGATCGATCCTCATTCCGACTCATTCCCCATAATGTATGCCATAAGTCGCACCGTGATCATCACCAGTCTATGTCTATAGTGGATTTAGAGTAGACTCAAACTGAGCCTGGAAAGCGTGTTTGCCACGGCCGTTGACCCAAGACCGAAGACCTTTGACTCGTGTGGGCCGACCGTGAGGAAAAGTCTGCGCTTGCTCCGTATGTTTTTCACATCTTCCGATACTTTCCGTAGGTCAGTTGCTTCTGGGCTCGGCACGATGTTGGAACGCAAGTCGGTTAGGTCCACGTTTCCACGAAAGGGGGCGCCCAAGATCAACGCGTGTCTTTACAAGTTGAGGGTGCTGGTGCACTGGCACGATCTGGCACGTTCTGGCAGCTTCTGAGATCTTGATGTAGCCAAGTCTTCCATGGTCTGTGGAGTTGCCCCATGATCTTGGTCGCAGTTCGGCTGGCTCTGAGCCATCGAAACCGTGGGCCTTGAGCGAAACAAGGATATGGTGCCACAAGTGATGCCACATTGACATGTCTACTTGTTCGTCATCATGGGATGCCCATCGTTGCAGGCGTTGCAGACATGTAGTTCTGAGGATTCACCGCAGATTCGCCAACCGAAGCAACTTCTTCCTTTGACCTGTGAGACTCATGGAGGATAGCCAACTTACAGTGGTTTCAGAGTAGATGGCACTGACCTCAAGATGTCCTTTACATGGGGGTTCATATAAACCACCTCTTCGGGTCTGTGCCATTACTCTCAATCCACTATAACACAGTATATACAAAAATAACAAGTATGTATGGCCCAATCGTTTTTTGCACAGATTTCGTTCAACAAGGCTGAAAGAGTTCTGTCCGGATTCTTAGATTCTGCTTTGTCACCATGGAGAACTGGTCACGATGGCAAAGTGGCACCTCGGCCGAGTTCGGGATGCTTGGTGCAAGACACGTACTTGCGGGGGAAGCATAGCGTTCCCTCTACCAACGGTCATCTAGCAACCCAGGGAGCGGGTGAACGGATCCATCACATTCATATTGGTCTAACCGTTCACCGGCAGAGACACACTTCTTAGTACCTCTTTTCTTTATCCATGGCACCGTGCAGCTTCGTTGGATGGTGCAGGCATGCTGTCTTGATCGCCAACAACGGCCCGGACCTGAAGCATGCCCTGCGGGATGCCAAGCTGGTCGCTCGTGCTTTGGTGCGCTGTGGCTTCTGCGAGAGGAAGGAGGATGTACATTTGCTGCTAAATCAAACGCGTGGCTCGGCCGCCAAGTGTGGTTGACCGTTTTTTGGGTATCCGGTATCCAGATTCGTAGCATTTCGTAGCTGTCCATGTTCGAAGATTAGCGTGACGTTTCTCTCTGACACTTTTCTGTGGCTGGTTGATGCATGAATTTGATTTGTTCAAGGCAATAGAATCAAGAAGAAGCTGGAGCAGGTAATCGATAGCTTGGCCAGCGATGCTCAGCTCTTCGTTTGGTACTCCGGTCATGCCTATGGTATGCTGATGGGCCCACTCCCTGAGAATCTCACGGCAGACATGGGCAGCCAGAATGGGTTTCAGGGGACGTGCCTGGTGCCCAAGAGAAAGTTCATTCAACGAGGTGATCAGCTGGAGGAAAGGATCCAGGGCCTTTGGCTGGAAGATACCTTGTTTGGCATGATTCAAAAGAAAGAACGCTTGATGCTTTGGTGCGTGATTGCAGCCTGCCGCACGACCAGAGAAGATCTCGTGACTGGTTTGACGCGGAAAACGGACCAGAGAGGCGCAGTCATTCGGGAGCCAGTCGAGTATGCGCACAATCTGAGCTTGCTCACAAAGCAGCGGTACCAATTCATGTACACCTGCGACATTGGGGAAGCCATGATGGATTCGTCTATTTTTGCCAAGTCCTTTTGCTACCACCTGGAATGCCAGCCAGCATCTCTAGCTGAGCTGAAAACGAACCTGACAAGAGACATTGGGTTAATGTCGTTCGGGCACTTGCGAGAACTGAAGGATCATGGGAATCTGCCGAACCCTCTGGAGGATACCGAATTCACTGAAGGCACAGAGATGCAGACTCGGACCAGGAAGAAGGTCTTTTATAGGAGCGATATGCTTGATACGATGAAAAAGGTAAAACTGCTAGTACATTGCTTGCACGAAATCGCGGATTATGAGACTTTAGTGTGCTCTGAAAGCGAGCCAGAGGAAGTGGATCTTCGGTCTGATTCTCTCAGCGAGGAAGAAGACGAGGAGAACGTCGACTTGAATAGAGATGATTCGTATGAGGAGTATGAGCGTGTAAGAGAGACAGCTCAGAACATTATCAAAAGCTTTTACAAGCCTTCTGATCACTTTGAGAAGCTTCGACATCTAATCCGGCTGCTAAGTTGCGACACGCTGGATGAGGTCAAGGAAGTCTTGGAAGAACATCAAACCCCATCCGCCCCATCCTCAGGCAGCGGTGGCTATCCTCCATGCCCGACTCACTGGACACCGGAAGGTTGTGCTGAAGACTTTATCAATGACCAGCGCAGCATGCTGAATTTGCCGGAGCTGGTGATCCATGCCATCAGCAATGCCATCATGAGGTTGAAGGATGGGATCTGAGGAATCTCATAACGGTGTGTCTAAAGTCTAGAACGTGGCCTTTACTCGATATGACGACAGGTGGCAAACAACACATGCTTAGCCACCTCGCTTCAAGTGCATGTGTTCCGTGACTGGAGCGCCGACTTTAATCGAGAGATCTGAAAGTGGTGGTCTGGAACCTGGTATATAAATGTTCAAACTGCCTTGGAAACGGCAGCCTCCGGGTGAGTAGCAAAAAGAAACTAGCCCAATACATACGGATTTGACCTCATTCTGAGAGTCATCAGATAGCACAACACCAACTACCTTCGACACGCTACTTCACCCAAGGGGAATTACCTACATCGGTACTGTCAGCATTGTTTCGGAATGTGGGGTATCGGTATATGTGGCTGTGGGTCAAAACCAGGCTACCAGGCTACCTTGGTTGACCACCGAAAATGAACAGAGTAGACTAGACTACTCATGGTCAACCCTCCAGGGATTAGGGGTCCGGGGTTTTGATCCACGGCGACGTCAGCTTTTTATTAGCATTTCTGCATGGCACCAATCAGCCGGAAGAGATGGTTGCGAGAGGACAAGGACAAGGGTGACTTTCCCGGTGACGTCTTCTTGAAGATGCTGCAGCTTGGGCATTGATGAGACAGCTACCTTTGGACTTGTCTAGCTATCCGATGCAAAGCTTCTTTTTGTTTTTCGGGGGTTGATTCAGCACTTCAGGCAAGAGCTGGGATTCTACTTCACCGCCAGAAAATATGAGAACAAGTTGGCAGTTTGCGATGAAGATAAGGTCATCCAGAAGGTGCAGTCCTTGAATAAATATTACTTTGTTACAGAAGGAGTCTTTGCCAGCACGCGTTCGTTTCTGTTGGTTTTGGGAGTCGCGTGACGAGGACACTTTGAGAAACCCCGATGACAATTGCAAGAGAGGCTCCAAGGTCTTACTAGTTGCAGGTGACACTCCATTGTCCAAGGAGTGTTGGGCGCTCAGCAGGATGCTGAAGACCTGGAAAAGAAGCTGATGGATCGGTGTGAGACATTGTGTACCTTGGTGGCTTTGTCCTATTTTGGGGGGATTTTTTGCTGTAGCGTTTAGAACATGCGGTGGCCTCTTTATTTGATCATTTGTGTTTTGAGGGGGGGGGTATGCAGGAACTATTTGCAATCTATGGGAAACTATTTATAACTTACCCTGGAGACTATTTATAACTTACCCTCTTGCATCCTCTTTTAGCTCCTGTTTTAAAGGTGTGTGAAGGAGAAGTCATGATGTGGACCAAAATTCACTAAGGAAATGCATTTGCGGTGTAGTGGAAGTTGAAAAGAACATCTGTGTTGCCACCAGCCCACTTGTCATGGACAGCCACAATTTTCAGGACAAACAATGAAATACCAACAAGAACGAACAAGTTAAGCTATAGCAAAGCACAGAACAGTGCAACTGCACACTGTACAGCAACTGGCAACAACTACTACTAAAAAACACTTACAACTTACAACCCAAACTCTTCAATCTAAGTTTAGCTTCACTTTGTGTGCATTTGCCACTAGCCATGGCGAAAAGCAGCATCAAGAAGGTCAAGAAGCGAATCAAGGTTCGGGTCAAGGTCAAAGTGCGCAAACAAGAAAAGACAGCAGCACCTGAACAAACACATCCTCCACCACCTCTACCAAAGCCACCACTCCCACGACGGCGGCAGCAAAAACGTGAACAGGACATGAACAGAATGATGCCACCGCCACCACCACCACCAGCACCACCACCAGAACTTCTCAGAAAAAGGAAGACTGCAAGCTTGCCCCCTCCGCCACCTCCACCTCAACGACCACTATTTGGGCGCCATCATCAATGCGCTGTTACTGCACCATGGCTATTTTGGCTCCATGGGGCTGGGCAGTGTTAGCAGGGGGTGCCAAACCATAGAAGAAGGGCTAGTTTCTTTTTTGAAACACAAGTAGACGCCCTCATGCGGCGATTCAGTTTCGGCCATGAAGATGATGAGTGTCTTTCCGATGACTCCTTGATGAGCCAGCTGTTTGGAGTTGGTACGCAAGACGGGCCGAAGCTTAGGTGATGCCTAGCAAACCTTTTGAACATTCTATAGTTTAAATAAAATACAGTATAATATCATATCATATCATTTCATTCCCCCCGTTATATACGACTCTATTAATATTTCTATATTCACGTTTTGCTGAGATTCGATGTTGGATGATTTGATGGAAAGTAAGGAATCCTAAAGGCCAGTGAACCAATCACCAAATACAAAATACAAATGGGAGAATGTCTATGAGTTGATCAGCTGCTTCAGTGTTGAAGCTTCCTCCAGGATTTCTTTGGTGGGTTTCGGCTTTCACACGTTGAAGTCACAAGTCATCTAAGGGATGCAGATGCGTATGCCATCCCACCACGCGCCACTCATGAACGTCCATCGTTCTTGGATTGGGTCCCTAAGTTCTGCGAGATGCTTGCAGTTGAAGATATGTTTCTCAGCAGGAGTTTGGATTTGCTTAGCCAGTCAAGCAATTCAAGTCTCAGTCTCTCAGGTCTCAGGTTCACAGCTTTGCCATGTAAGCTGGATGGTTTGCCGTTTTGATTACAACGAGCTCAGGTCCCGAGTCAAACGCAATGCGCCTGTCACCATCAATTTGGTGGAAGGGTGTGCTGGTGGAGCTACTGGATGCTATTTGATGCGTCTTCACAGCACTCGTTAAAGCAATGCTCTTTTGAGCTACCCTGGGACCCTGAATGCATTTTCACTCCAGAAGTGTGACGGGCTTCTGTGGGTGAGGCTATTTATATATTGTGTATAGAATATACTGTGCTCAGTGCTGACTGTACTGGTCGGTCTATGATATATTTAGTGTTTTGAATGTTGCGTTGTAATTGTACACTCGTCGTGACTATATAGATAGTGAATGGTGGTGACACGAAACTGAAAGAGTGGCCACCAGAACGATGCCAAGTGTTGCTAATGACTCGTGACTGAGTGAGCGTGACACGCCTCCTGGATAGTTGATGTGAGGAAGCAGATTTGCGAGCACTTGAAGACCAAGTTCAACGTGCGCATTAACGTGAGTTCCACAGCCCTTGAGAAGGATGAGATGAAAAAGCGATTCATCACACAGAACCATGGCGACGGCAGCCTCGTGGCATTCAGTTCATATGCAGTTAGGTAAGTAGTTCTGTTTCGTACAGGGAAGTTTCTAGAGGATGATGCAACCTGCCGTGTGCAGAATGTTGAGTTGAGAGTTTGAAGCTTTGATGCCAAGTCACTACACATAGTGTTAGTGCATTGGATGCGGCGCAATCGTCATCAATCAATAGTCCGCCGGTCTGTCATCATGTCTGTGCCACATTTGGCCATCGACCATGAACCCATGTGACACATGTCACCTCATCTCAACTCTGTGTTTTTTTTGTCAATCCTGCATCCGCTCCATCCGCTCCTTGCGCGGACTAAGTCACGCACCTGATGGACGACATCACCTGTGGTGTTACTGGTGGATACTGTCATCAGCATCAGAAGCAGTGTCACCTTGGGCTTGGTTCAGAGGACTGGCTCATTGAATCTTGTAGAGAAAGTGGAGAAGGTCTAGCGTCTAGCGTGATTTCTTTTTCTGTATCTTGCTGACAGACTAGGTGATCAAGCTTTCTACGGGCTGCAGACTGGCAATGTATTTTTTCTGTTCAGAATTTTGCTCAGAACGCAAGACCTTTATTATGGCCACTACTCTTCATCGATGGACCCGCCATAATAGTTGTGTAACGTGGTAGGAGTTGTTGCAGCTGCAAGATATATAACTCACCAAGAATATGTGATAAGTGATACGTGTTTCCGATTACTACTGTCAATGTTTGCCTTTGACGGGACTTGACTCTGACAGGACATTTTTGCTTTCGGAGCACCATGTTGCCCCTACAGCGTCCTCAACAACAAACGAAGGGCTGCTGGTTGGAACCCGTTCCTGGAACCAGACGCGGAACCTTTCCTGGCAGGTTGCAGGCATGTCCGAAACTTGGCTCAGTTGCGATGGGCGGTTGAGACGTTTTGTAGTTTGCGGGCCTACCAGCCTACCAGACCAGGCTAACTTGCTCGCGACATAGGTGAGTGTGTTTCCACGCCTCCCACTCACCCCCACCCAGAGTCGATGTCTATATCATCAAGGTTTGGGTGACGGGAGCATACAGCATACATACAGTAAATACTTGACTTACGTTCTTACATTCAATCAATACAGGAGAAAAGAATCACATGTATCAGTGGTTCGGAGGGATGCCGATTCCAATCAAGCAAACTCCTATCCAAGGCAAGAAGAGACCAGGATGCGTGCTGATGGAACAGGCGTGGGTGCAGCCTACCCAGAATCGGGGTTGTTTCTTTCCTGTTTGTGCACGCTGTAAATCTATGAATGTTATGTTATGTTATGTGTATTTTTTGTGTCCGACAATATGATCGCATATGGCGCATGTGTAATTTCACTGATAAGCAAAGCCAAGCAATCTAGGTGACCATGATTTTGGAGATCGTTTTCAGGCGTCAGAATCGTTTTGCATTTGCTTTGTACTATAAGCGGCAGGGCTTGAACTTTGGACAGTATTTAAAAAACCGGTTAAAGTGACCTCATGAGTCATGAGTCAAGCCCTGTCATTGTCCAAAGGCATTCAGCGTTTTGTGTTCTAAGGTGTGACAGGTTTGATTGCAGTCAACCATTTTGGTAGCAAGAAAGCAAATCAAATAGCACTTGAACGATTTCATAGTGCTATCACTGGACATGCAAACAAACAAACTGCTGTTGGCTGTTAACGTGACCTGTTGAGCTGAACTTCTCTTTTTGCGAAGTACTATCCAGTACCAGCACCAGGAAAACTACCGGATAAACTGCACTGTACAGTGATGCAGTGATGCTTGCCTGCCACAGGTCGAGGGGATATTTTGACCTTTTCCACGGGGAGGTACCAGCGATTTCTTTCGTCGCTACCAGGCTCGGAACTCGGGATGAGGTGGTCGACTGTAGCCCGTCCAAAAAGACTGTGACTGAGAGAGTCACATGCTTTTGGAACAATAGATCTTGAACGGTCATCAACAGTCATTAAGCAGGCCAAATACGTACAGACTGTAGTCCATCATAAAAATGCTGCATCCTGATCCTTCTCCATCCTTTGGCGCAAACCTTCAAGTCTCCTCTGGTGGATTTGTGACCTGTGACCTGGCCACTCGTTTTTGATTTGGCTCCGAGGGTGTAGTGGCGGGAGGTATATAGTGGTTCGTGGCCTGCAAACGTGGCAACTTACAATTTTGGGATTGCAGATTTTAGAAAAATCCTCCGAGCAGAACATGCGTGAGTCAAAGCAAACAGATATGATATTGGCATTGGTCTGTAGGAACCCAAAGACAAAGACCCAAAGAGAGAAAGAGATTGGGGCATTGCATTTTCGCATATCACCGGCAGCGGCATTGGTGCCACATGAGCTCCAGCCGTGACTTTCTGAGCCAATGCTTTGCTTCAAGGAGCACAGATTGTGACAGTGACAGAGAAGCTACTCAAGCTGATCTACAAAAGAAGTTAAAAAGGAAGGAACAGACACAGAAGGCAAGGGATGCTTCTTTGGTGTCCAGGGCATTGAAGAAGGCTCAAAAGAATGGGCCCAACGATGGGCAAACACCGACACCTGCTCAGACTTTGCAGCGCAAATTTCTTACTGGACGCCTGCATCATGCATATGCAATGTCACGGCCATACGATGTCTCCGCTCCAGACAACCAAAAGTCCATTCAGAGAGAACGAGCACGTTGCGTTTGGAGTCTTTTGTGCTTCCTGGCCAAGACATTGGAGGACCTGTTCTCCATGGGGACACCCGTGAAGCACATTATCAATACCATAGTTCCAGATGACACAACAACCCGATTGAGAGGGCCCAATCCAGGTGACCGAACAATGGTCTACACCCTGATGAACCAAGTCCAGAGTTGCATTGTCAACTACGAGAAGAAATTGGACAGTTCAAACACTGGCTGGCACTGCCTGGCACTCCCTTGCCCCACATCAATCCTACATGTGGCAGACACTCCAAACATTCATGCCGCCTATACTTCTTACTTGCTGGCTTCAGCAAGCGGTATCGGGAAGGGCTTACAAAGACTTGGTTTGTCGCAAGATCTGGAAGGGTTTCATGGAGCCAAGTGGATTGCCCAGGTTATGTGTGGTGACGCTTTGGAAGCTAATAGTGCAGCTTTCAATGTTGAGAGGCGCCTCCTGACCCAACAGCGTGAGCGTGGTGAGCGCTTGAATGTGGTGGCTATCAGGTACAAATGCGGAAACCACCAGTTGTGCCTTGCACGAAAATGCATCGTACTGGGAGTTGAGCGCTTTTGGTGTACACTTGTCAGGCTTGCCCACCTTTTCGAATGCTCTTCCTTCCGCCGAAGGTTTACTGCTCAGCTCATAACCTTGCTCAAGAAGCCTGGTGTTTTTGAACGCCACTCCACTTTGCTCAGATGATGTTTGCGTTTTCTTTAATAAGTAAAAGTAGCAGTAGCAGTAGTAGTAGTAGTAGCAATAATAGAAATCGACATTGACGTCGATATCATATCTTAGATTCGATTCAATCATATTCAATCCTATTCTAATGGACTTGATTCTTGATGATAAGAATCATCTGCTTTTTCAAATCAGAGGTTTGTTGCAACGGCATGTGACGGCAAACATATTAATTAATATATTAATATATTAGTCTACTTTTTGTTGCAAATGATTTGTTGCCACCGCCACTCCTGTGTTTGCTTCACCCACAAGTCCATTGCCCAGGAATCCAAGTCAGCCAGTACCCGCCAGAAATGTCAGAGTGGCAGCGCAGAGCTGAGTGGCTTCTCAAAGATTTCCAAGCACCAGCAAAGGTCCAAGAGAAGCTGCTTGGCCAGATTCTGCAATTCCTCAATGGGGATACCCGCAGTGATACAATCACTCATTGGTGCCTCACAGAGACGGAATCTGGTGGCCCATGCTGCAAGTCTGATTCAGAAGCCTGGAACAAAATGGTTTCCCTACTATGCCCGTTTCTCTCAAGAGGCTACGCAGTGCCACTCTTGTATCGCATGAAGCATTACGGTCCTGCTGCCGCTTACATACGGGTCGGGTGTTGCCTGCATCAGCTTCTCCCAAGAATCCTTGCTGTTGACGACGCTGGCATTAAAGAAGCTGGCAACCCTAGCAGTAACCTTTGCCAAGTTGTAGATGCATTGCTGGCAGATAACAGGCGTTTGAAGTCTGATCAACTCCTGAATGACGCAGACTTTCATTTGTTGGTCAGCAACCTGCTAGACGAAGACAAGAACTATGCTGCCCAAAACGGTGCTCGGCGACAGTTGGTTCAGCGAGAGCTGTCAAAACATGACTTTCATCAATCATCAATCATCATCGACATGCTTGTCCAAAGGATGGAGCCTGGGATCAACTTCTTTTTGAAAAGGACTGGGATCCTGTATGACCTTCAATACCTCAGCCACTCGAACCCAAATCACGAAGCATTGAAGGATGATTCAAAGAGCAGATTCCTCAAAGTGATCCGGGGAGATTTGGGGCGGGAGCTTTTAGGCCGCTACATGAGTTTCCTCCTGCACGGCCTGACCGAGAGTGTTACTATGGGGTTGGACGGGTCACAAGCACAGCTTGACTTGATTTTTGAGATGGTTATTGGTTGCGTGACAGACCTGCACAGGCGCTTGGTAGCAGAGTTTCTATCACCTCCGTTCACCTTGTTGGCATTAGCCGATGCTGATGAGAGCAGCTTTGTTACAGGGTGGCAGCAATTGCACCTCAAATATGGTGAGTGTGCGTGCTGTGTGGACCAGGAGTTCACAACACCACTCCTCCAGGCCTTTCCAGCATTTGAAAACGACTTGTCCACACCAGTGACGGAGGATCAGCAGAAAGACATACAGGCACTTCAAGAGTTCTTGTCTGAAGTGTGTACATGGAGCCCGTTGTCATCGGACGCAGTGGAAATACTCAACGGCCAGGTTCAATGGGCCTTGAGCCGTCGAGGCCATCAGTTTGTAAAGCAAGGGAAAGCAGCAATAGAAACCAGTCTTTTGGCACGGGCAGTCAAGCATTACAACTGGCTTGCAGACGCAGCGAGTAAAGACACCATGCCGAGCAAAATGGTAGGTAGCCAAGTTCGTCGGAAAGCTGGAACAAGAAGCTCCAACCAGTATTCCTCCCGTGGCAATGACACCTGTACTGCACTAGTACTGTACTTCTACCTTTTTCCGTGTTCAAACCAACACATGTTTTCTGACAGTCAGGGCCAGGGCAATTCAAACATCCGGGTTGTCAATCTTGCGCAATAGTAATTAGGACTCCCGAATCCCAACTTCCAGGACATAAGTAAGTACTAGTAGTAGCACACGCTTACTTACACTCCCACAGCCGCACTTATCCTGTTTGGGCAAAAGAGTTGCGTGACAGGTTTGCAGGGTTGGCAAGCAACATGAAAATGGGATACAGGATATTTCATATTTCACCTGACCTGGACCTTCTTTATTCTTGACTGGTCCACTCATTGATCTGAGGATGGAAGACATCCAGATCGTACTCGAGAAATTATGGAGACGGATGCTGAGAAGAGGGCGCGCTTCAACCATGCAGCAACCCGCAAAATTCGGAAGCTGTCAGGCTGGAACGTTTTCTTGAAGCAACAAGTTCAAGGAGAATCTTTGGATATGGGTGATTATACCAGAAGGGTAAAGGATGCTAGCAAGCTTTGGAAAACTATGAGCCAAGACGACAAAGAGGCTTTTGAGGTCGAAGCAAACCACCAGGAAAAGCTTCGGGGGGAATTGGCTCAGCAACCTTTGTCAGCTGGCCATGCTGCAAAAGCACCTACAGCCCTTGAGAAGGCAGTTGGGCACAATTCGTGCAAACTTTTGTCTGCCAGACGTTTGAAGCTGAACGATGAACAGTTTGACTGCCACTCTGTGTGGGACCTTGCAACGTGCATGTGTGACAGCGCCTTTTCTGGGATTTATTATTTTCCAGGATGTTACAACTTTTTTTTTACTGTGCTCAGTGCTCAGTGCTTTGGTTATGTTGTCAGAGTTTGTCATGCAAACAAAGCATGTTTAAATACTGTTACTGTTAGGTTAGTAGAGCAAACGCGTACGGTAGGGTAGGCTTGTGAGAGGAGCAGTGCAGCCACTTGTGCTTCACATCACGGTGGTAGAAGAAAGTCAGGTCCGGTAGACCGGTAGTAAGGTTGGGGTAGTGCATTGCTGGCCCAGTCCAACATCCAACCAGCTCAGGCCATGGGGCATTGAAGGCCGAACAAATTGATATGACGCTTTCT